TAGGAGGACAAACTGCCGCGGTGAAGCAATCTCATGGAGAAAACTACGTCGATTACACGGATAAAGAATAATGTTTTGATCATCATTTGAGGTGACTGCGGGGTTTTTCTCGAAACGCAACCGTGGTTGACCAAATATACAGTCAGTAGCATCCTCGGAAAATAGCTTAGTTTTGAGCTTAGTAGTAAGCGGTTTAACTTGTTGCCAATTGTGCACTAGTTGGGTATTATGCTCCAAAAGATAGCCACGATATTTCTATTGCGGTTGCGAATGCTGCTCAGAAAGCGCATGACACAGTGCTAGTTGACACTTTGTTTGCTATGGTATTTGCGAGTATTCCTCTATTGTAATCCGAATACCCAAATTAAGGACTTTTATTCATAAAAACGCACGAACTGGTGGAGGCATTGCCAGATCTAACGATTTATCTCCGAAACGTTCTTAACTCTAAAGGATACATAAACAGCTATTGAAAGAGGGGTTCTGTAATACCTTTGCCAGCGTCATAAGAGAGGAAAAAATTGACGATCACGAGAAGTTGGAACTACACATCCTGTTATGAGCAACACCGAATTCCAACACGGATAGTCTGTGAGCATACCTCATCGAAGCCGTCAATATTTAAACAGTCAGTTCTGCCGAAGTTGGAGGAGCCGTTCCGCGTAACTTGACGATGATGCCTAAAGCGTTCATTTGTCTGACGTCCATCGTGTCCGGTGATGCTAGCTACATGACAGTATGCTACCGAGATGTCATTAGGCCAGCTTGGGAGGATGAAATTCACAACAAATTTTTTGCCTATTGCATACATTTGATTGCAGAGGCTATCAGCAAATACTTTCTGGAAGTCGACGAATTCGTTACAGAAACGAAAAGCGATTTTCCCCTTTCGGGTAGAAATAGGCGTGTCTACATGAAGTATCTAACTCAGAAGGGCGTGGATAAACCAACCGGCCCACGTGCACTAGTCATCCTGCGCTGGAACTCCTGGCTGGAACTGTCCCACATCACAGCAGGTGTTTCAATTATTGCCCAGTCATGTTGCAAGCTGTACAACAGGTGTTTGTACACTCAGATGGTGTTTGTGCACATGTGGATTTCCTAATGAACGAAACAACATAGAAGGATTTGTGATGACAATGTCGGTGCGTCGGGACCGTTTGCAAAATTACCATCCGTCACACGCAATTTGCGGAATCACATAGTCGGGTAACGCATGAGATTTATAACGACCTCTCTGATCTATCCATGTCAATGAAAACTGCTGCCGATGAAATCTGACTGCAACATTTACAAGCAGATGGACTCACCTTTGATGCACTTCGCGAAATCTAGACTAACATTCAACTCTGCTTATCTGAAGCTGTCATAATTGTCCAGAAGTTGTTGATATCACAGGCTGTCTGGCCGTTTTTAAATTTATTAGAAAGAGACTGAGACTGTATTTAAGAGCAAGTAGAAAGGTTTCTGTACAACTCTATCGAATTACGAAAAATCAAAAACATTTAGTTGTGAATCATCAGCAGTTGTGTCTGGTCCGTTAATCGTTTATCCTTGTTCGGTTAGGAATTTGTACTAGTGTCATTATTTCCGGGCATACAATGTCTTCTTTTGGCATTGTATGTGCATCGTTTCACAAAAGCACAGTTTTCCGAAATAATCGTCGATACGGGTTTTAAAACACTTCACAGAATCGGCCTCTATTAATCCTTCGGGTAGTGTATTCCATAAGTTTACGATTCTTCGTTCGATACAAAGCTGATGTGATACTTTGTTCATGTTGGGGACCCTGAGTTTGTAACGGTGTCCTCGGGTGTTACAGGGTTCCCGCAGGTGAAATATTGGCCGCAGTATGGGGAAGTGATTTAAGTGTAGTACTCGATGGGTCATAATAAGGTCAATTCTTACTCGGCGATAGGATAGTGTGTAGAGTCCGAGCCTTTCACAACGTTTTTCATACGGAAGCTTTTGTAGACTCGGTATCATTCTAGTTGCGATATGCTGTATTTTCTCCAGCTTTTCAGTTTCCCATTGGGTTATCGGATGGTAAGCTGGGGCACCGTATTCAAGGATTGGTCTAATGAGCGAGGTGAATAGACGAGGGACGGTTTCTTCGGACCATGTGGAGAAACTGCGTCTTAATGCCCAGAGCATACGAAGTCCCGCACGGTACAATTTCTCTGTATTTTCTAGTGATCTCATATCATGTCGTGAGAGAACTCCTAAGTCTCTGACAGATGTGTTGGGATGGAGCAACTGGCCGTCCAAGGTGTATGATCGAGTGGCTGGACGTCTGGTGATACTGATGAACTCCGACTTGCTTGCGTTAAGAGGGAGTTGCATTTCAGTGGACCACGTTGACAGTCGCTCTAAGTCATGCTGGAGGCGAGCGCAGTCGTCCTGGTTCTCAATGATCCTCCAGATTTTCAAATCATCTGCAAACAGGGCACATGGTGACTGGAGCTGCTGCGGAAGATCGTTGATATGAATAAGAAATAATACTGGCCCAAGTACAGTTCCTTGAGGCACGCCACTAGTCGATGGGAACCAGTCTGTCAGGTAGTCATTGACCTGTACTCTAAACTTTCGTCCCACAATAAACTCGTGTAACCACTGAAGTAACGTGCCACCGATTCCGTATGTCCTCAGTTTACCAAGGAGTACCTCGTGGTTCACTCTGTCAAACGCCTTACTAAAGTCGATGTACACCACGTCAACATCCTTCCGTTCGTTGAGAGCTCGTACCCACTGGTGGTTTGCGTACATCAAGTTGGTGATGCAGGATCGCCCTTTCGTAAAGCCGTGTTGCGCTGGCGTCAATACGTCCATCGATTCGAAGAACGATAGCAGACACTTTTTCACAACCTTCTCGAGCACTTTGGATAATACCGAAGTCAAACAGATCGGTCTATAGTTCTCTAGTTTACTCGGATCACCACCCTTGGGAAGCGGTCTCACTATCGAGCATTTCCAGTCGTTCGGGACAGATCCTTCAGAGAGCGATTTATTGAAAAGGTTTGTCACGGCTGGTGAGATGATAATCGATAGGGACTTGAGTATTAGTGGGTGAAGTCCGTCTGGTCCGGGGGCTTTGCACCATCGAGGTTGACGAGTAGCTGGTACACTTCGACTGCATCACATTGTAGGCTGTTGAGCAAGACTGGCGCAACCTGTGCCGGTACTGAAACCGCCGCCGGTTTACTGGAAAATACAGTGAGGAAGTGCGTAGCCAAGGCGTCCGCGCGCTCCGCGCTTGAAATGAGCGTCTTTCCGTCTAAGCTCTCTAAGACCGGTAGGTCGCCCCCAGGTTTCAGTTGACGTTTCAAGTAGGCAAATATTCTTTTGGGTGCAGTTGTGGCCGAGGATGCTAGCTCCTCTTCGAACTGCCGGCGTTTCTTGATCTTTGCGGCGTTACATAAGTTACGCTGTTTCTTGTACACCGTGTAATCTTCATCACAACCCGAGCTGATGTATCTATCCCAAAGTTTGCGACGCCGTCGCGCTAACTGTCTATATTCCGTATCAAACCAATGCGGTTTGACAGGTCCGATTTTTGAATACTTAAGGGGAACGAACCGAGTACAGAGCGAGTTAAGCTTCCCCTTCATTAATGACCAACAGGCCTCAAGTGACGCATCCTGTGGTAGTGTCCAATCAGTCTGACTTGCAGCTTGGACGAGCCCGTTGAAGTCCGTCTTCCAATAGTTGAATGTCGGCTTCCGTTGATTGTAATATGGTAACGACAGTTCTAAGCTTGCCACAATGGAGCAGTGGTCACTGTTCGCCAGAGGTTCGATGACTCTGATCTCGTTCAGCTTCTGCTCGCAGCTCGTAAACATTAGGTCCAGACAAGATGCCGAGTGCGGAGTTACGCGCGTCGGTTGGATGACATGTTGCGTTGCCCGATTTCAATAGTCATTTTAGCGAATTGAGCCTCAACGTTGCCATGACCGGGAAGAAGTCGAACGTCTGGCCAAAATATCTTAGGTAAATTTAGATCCCCATCAGTAAGAACTGAGGGCGGCTCATGTGCTTCTGTACATGTGGTAGCCAATCGCAACAACGGTTTAATGGGCTCCGGTAGATAACCCCCACTATTAGTTCTGCGCGCCTGAGGCGGATTGTGCACCACAATTGCTCGCATAAACTATCCTCGCTCCGATAGGTGCTGGTAAGTTTGCCAGATAGTGACGATTTTATGTACAACAGAACACCACCGTGAGCCTTTGATTTTCGGTCGCATCGGAAACAAGAGTATCCTGACAACACGACTTCTTGGGGTATGACGTCGGAGTTCAGCCAAGTCTCTGCAAGTCCTAAAACGTCCGGCCGCTCCGAGACAACGAAGCGGCACAGTTCGTCACGTTTGTTCATTAGGCTGCACACGTTGGCGAATGCCACACGGAGGTCCTGGGAGGTACTGCGGGACGTGCCTGGAGGTTGAGCAACCGGTTGATACGGGTTCGTACACCCTTCTTGATCACCCGAAAATTTACAATTTGTAAGTCAGTCTCACCTTCCTCTGTACGGCGTTTGAGCTCAATGACCGCAGTCTTCAAACGATCCCTGTCTTCGGGTTCCAAGTCTCGGCGGATGTGAACTTTTATGCCTTTCAGCCTTGACAGACGAGACAGTATGAGCTGCGGCATATTGGGATTTGCAAAGGTGATTCTCAGAGGTCGACATGACTGGTTAGTTTTCTGGCCAAGTCGGATTACTTGTTTAATCGTCACACTGTCTTCGCCCACATCCAAGAGTCTATCGATGAGCCCCTGGAGGAACTCAACATCGTGATCATAACGTATCTGAGGGTTTTCATCTTTTGACTCTGGTACGTGGAAGACCATGAGATTATGACGCCTCAACGAAATCAGTGATGAACCTGTGGGAGCAGAACTAGAGGCGCTTAACTGATTGGGTTGTTGTTTATCAGCAGGTGACGTCTGAACTCGATTACGTGGGCCCTTGCGCTTTTGAGTGGTCCATGGATCCTCGGTGTTCAGAAGTTCACAGACAGCCTCTGAGAAATTCACGGACCGATCAGTGAAGCGGCATTTCGTAGCTTCCGAGTCTGAGTCTTCCATCGGTGGGGAACATTGAACCTGGGGCTCGGCCGGGGTCGAAGACGCTGGTGGTGGTGCAGATCGCGGAGTGACAATAGAAGGCGAGGTGACAGAGGTACTTTCACGAGGGCGTTTGATCCCACGTGGTGAACGGTTTGTTTCTATCTGAAAGAGAGATTTTCCCGTAGTTGTTTGCGGTCTCTGCGTATTCTGATGTCTTGTACCGCGACATTTATCACATATAACTTGAAAAAAACGATGTCGGATGTCGAGCGATTTTCGAAACACGTCAACGGATAAGCCAATGCACGAAATATGGAACAAAACATCACAGCCGAAGCACCGAAGTGCATGAGCCTTATTTCCCACAACTTTCGAACACGAACCACAAGTAGCTTGAGACGGCATCACAAGCTAGAGCAAATCCAAGATGGCGGACAGAGGTGGCAGTAGAGCAAATCAATGAGATCTCCGGAAGTAGCCAAAGAATAATCGCGAAATTTGCACCGCTAGGAAAGTATGCCAAAGAAAGGATATTGGTGCACAACTCACACAGATAAAACGCTGATAACACAGTAATCAGAGGCAAAAGTAGTATCTAGCACACACTGATCCCAAAATCCGCCACGTCCTTGGGTTCAGCTATCAGAGCGATCCAAACCAGCTCATCACTTTGCCCAGTGCAAAATGCATCTAAGCCGATGTTCTCGGTTTAGTTGGCTCCTCAACTCTTGCGGCCGAATGGCTAATCTATCGAAAAGTTGTGGAAGTAGAGCGTTTTAGTATGCGGCATTGATGCGCAAATTATTTATAACAGTTTAAGGCTTATGCTTTAATTACATTCATTCTGGGTAATGTCGATGAAAATGTGTACGAAAAATAATAATGGAACACGAGACCGCAATGTTGGTCGCAAGATGGCCGACCTTGGATACGTCTCCGGTATTACAATAGCGGAAAAACAGCTCTCTTTGGGGTCACCAACTGATGTTGCTTATGCTAATCT